CAGGAATGTAAAAATGGGGGAATTTTCATCCTTGAACGTATTCCAGACTCACCTATCCTCAAGCAACTTGGTTTAAGTCGAACTCAAGGTATTTTTAGGAGGTAAAATTAACCCTCTTGCCAAGCACGTGATGGTTCATCACCGAACTAACCTGATGTAAGAACATCCCCAGCCAAAGGGTAAAATTTCTTTAGGGAAGATTTATTTTGATCATATATGGGCTCAGCTGTGCCTGGAGCGTGGGGGTTTACCCCACACCTCTGCTGAGCATGGGGACAAACCTGCAGCCTTGATGGGCAAAGAGATGAGCTGACCTGGAAGAGGCAGATATCTATGGAAGAGCTTCCTACACTGGCATATTCAGCCCAACCTCTACCTCTGAGGGCAGATGGGAGCATTACCCTCTTCCTGCTTGGGGCTACGCCATGGATTTAGGGAATTCAAGCCAAGCAGGTTGGGCACATGGCTATGCCTGTTTTGGAAGTGGGAGAATTCAGCCATAATTGGGTCAGGCAGGATTCTTTTGTTAGATAGAGCATCATGCAAACACTGCTGTCAGCATTGTGGCCTCCAAATCTCTGCTGGGAATAAAGGTGGCCTCTGAGGATACAGAAGCTATTCATTTCTGGCCTAAGCCAAGAGATTCCCAAAATGCGTGCACCAAGCCTGCTGGTCAGACAAGATCTTTTCTTTCCAAGAGGCATCTCTTTTCCTCAACGAGAAAAGAGAAAATGAGGAACCCAGGCAGTTTAAAACATGAAGTGTTTATTTACTAAATTATGTGCTTTTGGTCAAACCCAAGTAAAACAATTTTGGAGCTGATTTCTGTCTGTCTTGGGAAATGGAAAGCAAAAGAGGCAAGTGCTATAGTCCAGTGGTGACAGAGAAAAACTGCCTGCGAGCTCAGCTCCAAGACATATTTAGAATGGCATCGACAAGGACAGAGACCACCCCCCTACGGAGGACCCGTTGCGGCAGCTCCCAGCCTTTTTATAGCCAGCCCTCACAGCTGCTGCCTCCTTTTTCCCACTCCTGAGTCCTAAAT